TTCTTAATATGATGTGTTTTTGTTTTTTTATTTATTTATTTATTTATTTTAGGTCGCTTTTTAACATCTAGGTCATTAGCGATCACATTTTAATAATGTAAACTAAGTACATATTTATCGATTTCATTATCATATGCCGTGCATTTAATTAAAGGATGGTTAACAGCTAAATCCAGTCCTGACTTGCATTTGTTTGTGTTATATTATGTAAACTGTGTCTGTATGTGAATAAATCAGTTAAGTTACGGTTCCATTTATGGTATATAAATAAATACAGAATCGAGTTCAAAATTTCTAGTCTTTTATTTTGAGACACCACGCAATACAACTGCAAAAAATGAAGATAGAGAACTGAACACCCCAACTTTTTGGTTGTACTTACATCAGCAATATTACTTTAATTTAACAAAATTATAATAAAAAATTGACTTTTAAAATGTACAGACATAAATATCGGTTTAATAGTATAAATATGACGGCTATGATGGCACAGTATACAAACAAGGAATTCTTTTAAATCTCAAACCCTTTTGTCGCTTTTATTGGATTTGCTGTAATCGAGTAAAAATGGGAAAGCCTTTTGGAAAGCACTCGTAAAATTTTAGGGGCGGAGAGTTTTAAGAGACCTCTCTCTACAATCTACAATAGAGTTCGACACGGGTCGAAGTTAAACAAATTAATAAGAAGTGTTTAGCTTGATTTTATACGTCAATGTACTTAGTTATTATCTATAAATATTGTTTGTTTTTTTGTTTGTATTGAATAGGCTCCGAAACTACTAGACCGAGTTGAAAAATTTTTTGACATTTAGTATCCTACATTATCCCTGATGAATATAGGCTATAGAGTATTTTCAAAAAAGTTAGGGTTCCGTATGAAAATTTCGATTATGTAATCCAATGTGTGTAAAAAAAAACAATAAATAACTCTATACCGCGTACGCTGCGGAAGTCATTGACATTAGAACAAAGTGTTGTACTTAAGTTTTATAGAAGACATCAATACCTAAAAAAAGGTCCACGATACTATATGTTTAACTATTGCAGTTACTTCACAATTAGGGGACCGCAGGGGACCTCCCCTGCGGTTTCATCCGGGTTAATTTTAGGTAAAAGGTTATAGTGAGTCAAACTTAAAAGATTGACAAATGCTGTCCCAGACTTTTTATAGAACTTTTAAAGGGAAACATTTATGTGATACATGATTTTTATGTAACTTTACTCGTATATACAACATGTTTCATCGATGTACCGCTCCTACTGGTCAAAAAGTCATTGTGTATAATACAAGTCTTAGAACAAAAACTAAAGTCTAAAATAAAGCTCTAAACCGAAGCGAAGTGAGGGCGGGCTACTAGTTTTTAGTAATCTGCTAATCTGGTTCTAAAATCCATTAAGTATGTATTCACGAAAAAAATATCTTAAGTGACACAAGTACCTAAATTATATGCTTTGAAATAAAAGATAAAACATTCACAAACTATTACTTCCAATTTTTTTATTGGCGCGATATCTAGAGATTATTCAATTCACCTTAGTTTTGGTGACACCTCAATTTAATGAACGATCAGACTAGAATAATTTTAAGCTGCCTTAAACCTTTTTTAGATGATAATCGGGTTTTTAAACGGTTTCTATTTACTGTTGAACCCCATTAGTCGATTACTAAACGTTTTATATTGACATCGGCGATGTCCAAGTTCCAAGTATCTTTGACTATCTAAACAGATCGTGTACCACTGCATTATTTCTCGCGCGTTGTCTACCCAGACCCCATATTATACCCTTTGCCTAGACCCTAGACTATAATTTACCCCCCCCCCCCTAGAATTAGTAAATGAAATCAATAACGAATGCCTTTAGATGACTTCTATGCCACCCCAAGAAGAAACTCTTGCAGATAAAATGTATAATATCTTGCTCATGCATGCTACAGGGACTGGGGTAAATACGTCCCTGCCTGGAATCGATAGGGCTATCATGCTAATATTGTATTACAATTTGATAAGAGTGCTATACCTACTAGAACCATTTGTTATTATTTGACATAAATTCTTTATATATTTACAATAATAGACATTTATCAGTTTTTTGCATTATTGGTATGTATGATTCATTTTAAATGTACGAGCTTGTCAGCTTCGGTCATTGTTGGTTTGGCACTAGATAATGTTGTTGACAACATTATTGTAATCAAATCATAGCGACCTTCTCGTTTGAACCGATAACGATGAGTTGCCTCGCGGATGTCCCATCTCTATTATTATCTAAGTACTTATTTATTATAATAATGTTAAAACCTCAAAATAGTGCCGTATGTTTGTTTTGTTAACTTATTTTATTTACATAAACTTTTTCATTGATATTATTTTATTAAGATGTTTACTATTTGTATGTTATCGCAATCATTAATAAATAATAAAAAAAATACAAATATAAATCCATATAATATAACACGTCGTTGCATCTTATTGTATGAATTTTAATTGCCTCGGTAAGTAATTGCAAAATTATTGTGTTGGGTTAGTTTCTTTGTAAACCTTTGTAGGTTAAACTTAGTTAAAAATAAATATGAGAACAAAAACGAAAATTAAAAGAAAACAAACGTGAGTGTCGTGGAACACCTCGGTTGGATTGGAACGAAGTTAAAAATAGGTATAAGTACACTATAACACACTTTACGCTACAAAACAGCTGACGGTCGTGAAGGAAAATCGTGGCGGAAAAATATTAATTTTTTTTTCGGCTAGACCCCATTCGCCCAGTCCGTACCGATAAGGAACTTTGTTTCACAATAATTATGTGCAAAATTATTAATAATAAAAATAATGAGGTTCTAATATATTATAGTATGTACCTTGATTGAGGACCTTGATGGCGCAAGTGGTTGGCGCGATCAGCTTCGTTGAAGTTAAGCAACTTTCGCAGTGGTCGGTCATTGGATGGGTGACCAAAAATTTACTATCTCGAGTTCCTCCGTGCTTCAGAAGGCACGTTAAGCCGTTGGCCCCGACTGCATCTGCAGTCGTTAGCACCCACCAATCCGCACTAGGCCAGCGTGGTGGGTCATGGCCCAATCTCCCTATTCCATCCATAGGGAAGGCCTGTGCCCCAGCAGTGGGGACATTAATAGGCTGATGATGATGATGTACCTAACCTACCACAACAACAAATCAAGAATAATTTCTTGCAACTTGTGTGTAACCTACACTATTATTGTTAACAAACATTTCTATTTTTATTAAATTCATTTCCAAACTTAGTTTGTCGGTTTTGCTAAACACGGAAGGTAAAATCCTTTAACGTCACGTAATTTACGTAGGTAATATAAGTATTTATATTTGCGGTTTATGAATGCGTTGTAGGTATTTCTGCGTTGGTGATAGACTGAAATAAATAGTTCAGGGAAAATGATGTAACTTAATGAGAATTTATACGAATCACGTAAATATTCGTTATAAATAAACTGACAAGTAAAATGTATATTAACATGATACCTACAGTACTGCTAGTGAATGGTATTACATAAAGTCGTGACTGATGTTTTGCTGAACAAATGTCTCGGTTCAACAACAATCAAGACAGTGCAATGTGTATCCATGATTCAGTGTGCAATAACAAAAACTAACATAATCATCACTTAAGTCGTGCTTAATTTACGACTGCCTCATGCTTACGGAACTGTCTGATATGAACTTGATCATAAACAAAACTATAAACTATAGATCTAATAAGTTAAGAATTCACTCGCTCAATCACTCACAGAAAGCTGTTTTATTTCAAAACTTACACACACACCCACACTCGCTGTCTGCAGGTAAAGGTCGCATACTTTGCGGGCTCGCCACCCTTGAATTCAGAACGCGCCTTTTGGTCACCCGTATAAAAATCGCATAAGAATCGCAATCTCGAGGGCACGACCCGCCGCGTCTGCGGGTGATCGAGTAGCGCGCGCCCGCAGTAGGTGCCGTAAACAGCCGCGCGCTCCGCGGGCGCTAGGTAATGATTTCTATTCCATCCCAAATTTATTTCAGTGTTCTCAAAGCTCCAATATTTATAAAGTTATTTTTTAACATATTCAAGTAATATCTTTTATTTATTTTCCTTTAAATAAACAGTGTCGATATTTTTAAGTAACTAGTTTTCGTAAAATTGTCATTTATGTTTTAAGCTGTATCTATGTATGTGTTTACATTTTATATTACCTCAATAATTTAATCAATTGACATGTTATTTTTTATTTAAATTTAAGTTTTAATGTCTGTTTTTGTATGAAAAAAAAAATGGGTGCGTGTACTTATGTAGGCGCGTGAGAAGTTATCCATCCTTCTTTGGCATCGTTTAAAATTACTTTTTAATTGCATGCAAATAATTAATTACAATAAATTAATAAAAAGTCTGGAAAAGGACACAGTCAATAAAGTTCAGTTTTAATTTGAAAAAATAAATAAATAATCAAAATATTCAATTAAAATCGCTACTGAATATAATTTATTAGAACATATGTGATTTGCACTTGTATGAAACTCAAACACGTATTCCGAATATACAAACTAGAAACATGTGGATAAATATTATAAATATGAATGTTACTTTATTACAAAAAATAAAGATGTGGTTTTTGGTTCTACTACACCAATGGTCAAGAGATGGCGCTGTAGTCTCCTGAATCGCGCTTTGGTTCCGTTGTTCCAGATTAATAAATACTTTTGATAGGACTTCACAATGCAGTCGTTAGCACCCACTAAATAGAGATTCTATTTCTATTTTGTTGGTAGATTTTCATAATGTGCGGTAAACACAAAAGTAACGCATGAAGTTGGTCGCTAAAGCGACCAACTTCATGCTGTTAAAATTTCGTGTTACAGTGATGCGCGCGCATCTTAAAATTTCACTCTCATCATTTTTTCATAACGCGCCTAAAGAAGTATAACTTCAAAAATTTAAAACTATATTTGTCACGGAATTTTAAAAACTCTAAAAAGGAGTTTTTTAACTCACCTGTAGGCACATCCCAAGCGGGACTATTGTACGCGTAGCAGACTTTGCTCATGATCTCTCCGAGCTGGCGGCCGCAGAACTTGAGCGCCGAGGAGCGCGCCTCGGTCTGCGAGTGCCACATTAGCGTGACGGCATATAACGCCAGTTGATAAGTTCTCACCACCATCATGATTACTATAAGGAATTAAAAAATGGTTTTTAAAATACACACACATAAGATAATTTTGCATAGATAGATAAATACCTACCTACAGAAGCTTTTTTCTCTATGGCTCTAAAACCTTGCACATACGAGGAGATTGCTAAACGTTTTCAAATTATTGTAAAACTTCAAATTGTGATATAAGATACAACCTTACAGCATTTATGCTCTAAGGATACAACTTACTAATGTAATGTGTAACTTTAAACTTATTAAATAATAATAAAATTGTGTGTTCCACGACACTCACTATTTTGTTTTGGAACGGTTGGAATGAATAAAAAAATAAACCTATTTATGAATACACAATAAAGTAATAATACGTGCGATAAGATACTTATCTTCGTTCCAATTAGATTTAACTTAAAAAAAAATATTTTTTATTTGTCTAAGTCGGATCGGATATCATCTATAATTATAGGATCAGAGTCCTTGCCATGTCCTTGCTAAAACGAATTAAACGAGCCCAAATTGATAGGGTTGTGTTGTTTTGTTGAGTTCTTAGAGGTAGCATCCAACCGACTCCATTATCAGATTAGATCCAACGCTCCTAAAGAAGATAATATTATGCATTGATCTGATTATACAAAGTTTACATGGCGCGTAATTTTAAACGGAGTTTCTATAGCCGTCTTCCTTAATGTCATCTGGCCCCGTCATTAGGCCCTTGCATATTATCTTGGAGAAGTCATCAAAGCAAAAGCAAATCAATTTCTAATCAATTGCATTTTTTTTTCAAATATATCTATAAGTTTCATGTGCCGAATTTCAGCTCAACCCAAATAAAATAATAATAATAATACCCAAATAGCAAAATTGGTTATGACCATTGTTTAAAAACTGCAAATTTCGAAACAGTGGTCACAACAACTTACAAACCGTGTGATGGCAAATTATTCGATCATTATTTTGTTATGAGCCATAATAATTATGTTAAATTTGAAAAAACTGGCCAAGTGCAAATCGGAGTCGCGTACCGAGGGTTCCGCACAAACCTGTAGGTATATTTTAATAATTTTATTATTAAAAAAAAAATATATGATGTAACTAAAAATTTACGGTTTTCGCAATTTTTCCTTTATCTGTACTTAAGACGTTACTACGTAGGGGGCGTCCATAAATTACGTGAGGTGTTTTTTTGGATTTTCTGTCCCTCCCTCCCCCCCTGGTGAGATGTCGTGGGATTTTATTCAACCCCCTCCCCCATCCCCCAATCTCACGTGAGATGTTTCAAAATGTGGGTTTCTTTCGTAAACGCGTTGGATTGTTATTGTAAAAAGAAGAAAAAAATGCTTCATGCTTTTATTTACGACTAGTTAAGACTAGTAATCAATATTGCTGAGAGTTATAAGTGTAATAAAAATTTAACAATAGAATACTTAATAAATACTACTGTGAAAAAAAATTGCGTGATATTTGCTGAGACCCCCCCTCTCTCCAACGTAAGATTAGATGAGATTTGACTGGACCCCCTCCTCCCCTTAAATATCTCACGTAATTTATGGACGCCCCCGTACCAAATTTCAAGATTCTAAGTTCACGGGAAGTAGGTACCCTGTAGGTTTTGATTCCCGTGCGAGTTTCGAAAATTTGCGGATTTCGCGGCATAGATGGCTGTATCTTTTGATTGCTTTGGCTTAGAAGTTTGATTTTTTCACAGGTCCCAGGGACAATAGACCTGAGTATTAGATATGAATTTCAGTTTGATACCTCCACGCGTTCCTGGGAAAAACGGTCTTGACAGATTATGTTATAAAAAGATATATGATAATTTACACCTACCGCTTTGCCCCTCATTTCCATCAAGAAACAAGTCATGTACTAGTTAAAAACAAAACTTGTAGAATACTAGTTGTGGCTGTTTAAAGCATTCTTTGGTTTACACTGTACAATAGTATCTTACAAGTATAGATCATTTGTTTACTTTACATATTTTGTTTATCCAAAAAGTTAGATGCAAGTATTGTATACAAACAAGTATTGTATACAAAAAATTAAATGATTGAATAACATTTCTTGAATACATGTATTATACCTTGGTATTAACGAGGGGTTACAAGGACCAGACATTGATTTTATGAATCTCTGACATTTTACAGAAATAAAAATTCAATCTTGAAAAAACCTAGTACGATTATTATTCCCCTAAGCTGCCACACTGCCTGTTAGAGACACTCCAATATTGTTCATACTGATTTAAATGCGGGTTTTTAAGTTCTTAGTAATTCATTCATTCTGGACCCTAATATGTTACAGGTTGCCCACCTGTAACGTATTAGGGTCCAGAATGAATGAATTGCAATGGATTCCATCTTATGTTAGTCTTAAAGGTAATGAAGAGGCTGACAGACTGACAAAGTATCAGTGAAGGTGTCAACTTAAATATTTTACCATTTTATTCAAAGCTTCTGGAAAAATTCAAAAGAAAATGTTTTGGAAAAAATTTAAAGAGTATATTGACGAGCGAAGTAGGGAAAAAGGAATCTGGTACAAGACAATCCAGTTTCAGCCTCTGAGAATTCCTTGGTTTGACAATTTGAATTGCAGCAGAAGGTTCATTGCAACAACTTTAAGATTTCGTACTGGATATTATCCATCCAGGAAATATTCACCTAATTGTGAAAGTGATTGAACACATGATTGCAGAGTGTACTAAGTATAACATTAAGACAATGTCATTATTGCAAAAATAATATAAACGTTGTCGGCGTATGGATATGCGCAACAATATAGGCAGCTCCACATATTCATAAGTCATATATTTATATTTGCACCGTTGAATCTTTTGTCGTAGTTTTATAATATTTTTGTAATTTCTAATGTCAGGATATGATGGGGATGGCATATCCTTTACATAAGGTAAAAGCTTCTAAATAAATAAGTATAAACAAAAAATACATTGCTTTGTTAATGAATTTCTACAAACCTTTCTATTTTTTTTTTATGGGAATGATAGTTTCATTCGAGATATCATTATTTTAAGCAAGCAAACTGTAACATCTTCATATCTAAAGAAAATTTTACTAGAAAGAAATAGGTATTTAATTTTCTTCTTTTTTCGTTCGGTTGCTACGGAAAAGAAATTAAGAAAGTTGCGCGAAACTAAATTTAACGTGGACGAAATTGCGGTCTGAAACTAGTTTCTAAATAAGACTATACAATAAATAGAATCTATTCAGTTTTATATACTTAAATTAATATAAACACCCTTTCACAATCAGAAACTGTGATCACAATAACCTATACCAATACATGTACGGAAAAATAACAAAAGTTGAATGCACTTTGAAGGAACGTGTAGAATAGTGTACTATTGGTATCACAAAGAGACGAGTCCGACGTTAACTTAAAATTGTTGCATAACTAGAAAAAATATTATATAAAATATAATAAAATGTACCTTATGATTTCTAAATGCCTGTGAAAGGTTAGAAGGTTTTCTAACTTAGAACACCGCTTTCGTTCAGTGTTGATTTCTTCGTGTAACGTTAACCGGGTAGTGGCCGTAACTTGAGTAGTTTTCGTTTTTATACTAAAGGGTAAGTGAAATTTGACACCTGTTCCGCCCTTTGTTATGTTGGTAGAGCCCTTGCAGATATATTTTTCATTTCCTAAATGCATAACGTTTAAGGACTTTTTGATCGGTAATACTGTTTATTTGATAGAAACAAAGATTATAGGTTCTGATTAATTCGAAATTACAGTTATTAGAATTCATTCAAATCTTTTCGATAAGTACTTTTGTAAATTTCTTTATTTATTTATCGTAATTATTGTGAACTGAAACCTTAGACCTTCCGTTTGTGTTTTATTCATGAATTGCGTTTCGAATGAAGATGACTTCACCTTATTTATTCATAAAAATGAGAATCAGCTTCTTCCTTTCGTTAAGTGCCATTCCAAGAATAGTGTAAGGTGGGTGCTATATCACTTGTTTCGTTAACATCATGGTGATGACTACTCACTTATCATACATTACAGAAGGTTTTTTTTTGAAGAAAACGGTTTAGATTTTTAACCCTTTTCTAACAGGATTTTTATTAACTTCCATTTGCTTCTTTTATTTTCCCGCACACTAATCAATAATCATTTAATAACACTTTAAATAGATTTTATTGTTGCGTCTTTTGATTTTTTATAAATTTGAAATATCATACCTTTTTAGGTCCTGACTTTTTTCTTATTGCCTCAAATATTCAGAATATGTACAGAATTAATATTCCGTTAAAAAGTAATTAAATTTAATTTATTGACTTGTAATGTTTGCTATCGATTATTAAGAAAACAAACATTATCTTTAAACTACGTAACCAGAAACTTTGGCTAGAAAGGAAATTGTTCCTTAGATTCAAGGAAATGTTATCCAATCACGATGGTGTGAAAAAACACTTAAAAGAGTCTGTTCAAAGTAATAACAAGTGATGCTTGTTGTAAAAAGATATCTCGTGAGACAAAACTCATAAATATTCGACCCATCTTCACAGATCGTATTCGGTGTCTGCATGGTATCAACAAGGTAGAGTTAGTTAAACACCGATGCGGTCAGTACCGAAGTACAGCTACTACTTGTAGTAGCTGTGAATCGGTCACACATAGGGCGCGTGCGCTTGCGCCGCTGCGACAATGACATCTATTGTAGTAAACAACCATACACAGTATATTACTTCTTCACCGCTGCTTTACATATAAAATCACTCAAGTGAAATTTCTGGAGACCGAACTCTTTGATTTATTTATTGTACCAGTGGGAGTTTTATCAAATTTTATATAAAACGCAAAGATAGAATGTTTTATATCTAGTTTTCATACTGAGATCAAAGTTATTTGGTTCCGTCATTCGCTACCGTGCTTACAGTCTGCGCTCTCGGTGCTCGTGCACTCGATTGGATAATTACATGAATCTCTGACTGGACTGCAGCCTTGCTACTGCTTTGTTAGATTGTACACGGTGTTGTTTATAACCCAAGTGAAC